CGAGGACTGGAATTGGCCACCCCTGCGACTAGAGGTTGCCACAACCTGTGTTGTAGGAACACGTGAGCAGGAGGTGTGTCTGGTTCCTGGCACGGTTCCTGATTTAGATTAAAACATTTTCTTGTGTGTTGAAAAAAAAAAGTTCTAGCATGATTTTTTTAAGTGCTAGAGAGTTCCAGTTAGAGAGATCCTACAAACACAGTGACTGTCAGATAAGCTCAAATTAGGGTAAATACTGAATCTACAATATGTCTGTTGTCTTCACTCCAGTACTCTACACAGACTGCGAACAGGATGAACACCTACCAAGTAAGTTATGCTCTTTAGTGATGTTTTTTTTTTTTAATGAGCAGGTAAAATACAAACTGCTGTGACTGCACTGTATACATACTGTATGTTGCTAAAGCTTTGGGAAGCTCGTGTTTTATAGCATAGCTCACAGTCCTCTATTCCATCAGCAGGGCAGATCACCAAGGTACCATGACTCTTTAGGCCTGTGGGCAAATCAACATATTGCAGATCACATCAACAGGGTAAGATAGTTTTAATTTCACCACACAGGACTGAACAGAAGCCGTGCTATTATGTTCATGAGGCATTTGTCTTTACTGATGACCATCGATTACTCAATAAACTGCAAATTGTCACAAGTTTGTTTGTCTCAGTTTTTAGAAATGAAAGAAGTACCATGAATGTAACATTATCCATCATACCAGACGGTCTTTTTAGATGTACTGCATTTTGGTGTGACATCTTTTTGACAAAATGACTCAGAAATCTATTTTTGAATCCTTAATTCTATAGAAATTCAACATGATCGATGGAGACCAGGTAGACTACCCAGTGTACCGCCCCTACAAATATGCATACGAAGGACAGGGCAGCAAATGCCAGTCACTGGATGAGCTGTCACTCAGCAACCTGGGAGATGATTTGAAGTTTCTGAATGATTTGGGGCCCAAGTTCAAGACCCTGGGAGGAATCTGTCACCAGGCAATTCAAGAAAAAAACATACAGCTTTAAAGGGCATGGCTGGAATGTGATTTTTATATTAAGCAGGTATCTGGCATCTATCCATGACACAAGGATCTAAGAGAGGTTGTATTTTGTTTGATTCAAGATGGAATTAATACTGTTCCATGACAACATTTAGTTAAATAAGCTGATTCCTGTGGGATGTTACCTCTCTGGAAGAGCTCAAACTGCTCCAGATGGCTTTAAATCAAGTCTTAAAGGGGTTTATAAAGGTGCTACCCAAGGATCAATATTAGGCCCATTGCTTTTTTTATCCTGTACATGAGTAACATTTATTTTCCAAACCAACATTGCAATGCACATGATATTATCTTGTATGCCATTGGGCTGCATTTGAAGGCATGCAGACCTCTCTGTTTAACTTACAGTAAAGCTTGTTCTAAACTCCAGAAAAACTAAATGTATGCTGTGTATCTCAGTCACTGAAATTCCCAATCCTATCCAAGTTCTAAATCGAGATGCAATTAATTCAGTCCAGCATTATAAAATACTTTAGAATTTGGTTAGATACACAGTACTAAATTGCCTTACAAAATTTATGTTCTTGTACTTTTTCCTCAGAAATTTAAAAATCTGATTTTTTATTTATCTTGAAAAAGAGCTTGTTTCTCCTTTAACAAGAGAAGTATCATTATACAACCCACTATACTATTTATATTAGATTACAGACATATCTTTTATGCTCCTGTGGCTGGCGCCACTCTTAAACCACTCAACAGCGTAGCGATAAAAAGGATAGCCATCACCCTCACTACTGTAAGTTATATGAAAAGGTCAAGTGATCGTCGCTGGTGTCTTCATCTATAAGACCTTGTTATTTAAGTTGCCAAGATATTTAACATTTTTAGTTGAGTTCAGAACCCATCATCTTGACTCCAGATCTGTATGTATTGTATTATTTTAACTCAAATCAAATCAAATCAAATTT